GGACTTTGTCCAAAATAGACCATGCACTAATTTGTAGAACATGTTTAAGTAAATGCAAAGGAAGCAAAATTATCCCATGCATATTATCTGATCATAGTGCAATGAAATTGGAAATCAACAGCAAAATAAATTAAAATAACTACATAAATACATAGAAATTAAATAATAAATTCCTGAACAATCAGTGGGTCACAGATGAAATTCAGAAAGAAATTAGACAGTTTCTACAGTTAAACAAAAATCCCAATACAACATACCGGAACTTATAGATGCAATGAAAGCAGTCCTGTGAGGGAAATACATAGTGGTGAATTCCTTCATTAAAAACAAAAAAACAAAAAAACAAGAGTAAGCTGAAATAAATGACCTAATTTTGAACCTCAATCTTCTAGAAAAAGAAGATCAAGTTTAACCCAAACCTAGTAAAAGGAAATTATAAAGATAAGACCAGAAATTAATGCAATTGAGACTCAGAAAATAATACAAAGAATCCATGAATCAAAGAGTTGTTTTTTGAAAGATTAAATATAATAATCAAACCCTTAGCCAACCTTATTAAGAAGGAAAGAAAAGACTCAAATTCACACAATTAGGAATGAAAAGGGTGAAATCACAACAGATCCTACAGAAATCCAGAAGCTCATTAGTACCTCCTTTGAGAAACTGTACCTACAATAAGACAGAAAATTCAGAAGAAATGAACGGATTCCTAGACACATGAATTACCAAAGTTGAATCAAGAAGATATAAAAACTAAATAACCCAATATCACTCAATGAAATTTCAAAAGTACTAAAAAACTACTGGCAAAGAAAAAGCTCAGGTCATGATGGATTCACTGCTGAATTCTATAAGAACTTTAGAGAAGATCTAATGTCACTACTCTTCAAACTCTTTAATAAAATTGAAAAGGAAACACTACTCCCCAGTAATTCCTGGAAGCAATCATTATCCTGATACCAAAACCAGAGGATACAACAAAAAAAGAGAACTACAGGCCAATCTCTTTAATGGACATAGATGCAAAAATTCTCAAGATACTGGCAAACAGAATGCAGTAAATCATCAAAAAGATTATACACCATGACCAAGTAGGATTCATCTCAAGAGTGCAAGGATGGTTCGACATACACAAATCAATAAATGTAATATACAACATTAGTAGAACCAAGGAAAAACTAATCATCTCAATAGATTCAGTAAAAGCATTTGACAAAGTCCAACACCAATTCATGATAAAAACCCTACAGAAAATTGGACAGAAGGGCTTTATCTCAATCTGTTAAAAGCCATCTATGACAAACCAACAGCCAACATCATACTAAATGGTCAAAAACTGAGTTTTCATTGATTTTATGTATTTTTTAGCCTCAATTTTATTAATTTCTTTGTAATTTCTTTCCTTGTACAAACTCTAAGTTTAGACTGTTCTTGTTTTTCTAAGATGTTGAGATGCATCATTATGTTATTTATTTGGCTTATTCAATTTTTCTGATGTGGGCATTCACTGCTATAAATGATCCTCATAGGATTACTCTCATTGTGTCCCATAATTTCTGGTATGTTGTACTGGCATTATCATTCAATTCTAGGAACTGGCTCATCTCTTCCTTAATTTCTTCTGTGACTCATCAATTTTTCAACTTCCATATGTTTATATAGTTTCTGTGGTTTCTTTTGCTATTGATTTCTAGTTTCCCTGCACTGTGACTTGATAATAAGCATCATAAATTTTTGATTCTTTTGCATTTACCCAGGCATGCTTTATTTACTAGTATGTGGTCTATTTTGGAGCAAGTACAGCCAAAAAGTATCTGTATTCTGTCATTGGGTAGAACACTGTTTATATTTATTAAGCCCAAAGATTTGGATGAACTCTGATATTTCTTTGTTGGTTTTATGTTTAGTTGATCTGTCAGTTTGTGATAATGGGCTACTGAGATTTCACACCATCATTGCACTGATGTTTATCTGACATTTTATGTCCACCAGAGTTTGTTTTATGAAGTTGAGTGCAGCACGGATTGAGGCATATGTTTGTAATTGTTATCTCCTCCAGTTGAATAGTTCTGTTAACCAATATGTAATGTCTTTCATTGCCCTTTTTGGTCAACTTTGGCTTAAAATCCACTTTGAAAATAGAATAACTACTCCTGGGGAAAAAAATAATAAGATAATATCTTATTTCTTTGATGGGTACTGCTGAGATTTATGTTACTCTTTTCAGCAAGAGCTACTTACTGTAGGATGGTGAAATGAACAGTAATAAAGTTGGCAGGCTGAAAAATAAAACAGAGTTTTCACTCTAAAATCAAGAACAAGACAAGGATGCCTACTATCACCACTCCTATTCAATGTAATTCTGGAAACATTAGCCAGAGCAGTAAGACAAGAGAAAGAGGGGCCAGGGATTTAGCTCAGTGGTTTCGCTGCCTGCTGCACAAGCACAAGGATCCAAGTTCAATCCCCAGTACCAAAAAAGAAAGAGAGAAAGAAATAAAAAGAATATGGACAGAAAAGGAAGAACCTAAACTACCATTATTTGTGGATGATATGATATACAAAAGACCCCAAAAACTTCACCAAAAGAGTACTAGAACTAATAACCAAATTCAGCAACAAAGCAGGATACAAAGTCAACACTGAAAAATCTATAGCATTCCTGAACGTGAATAACAAACTCACTGACAGAGAAATTAGGAAAACAACACCTTTCACAATAGCATCAAGAAAAATGAAATATTTAGGAATCCATCTAAGGAAGTTAAAAATCTTTACATTAAAAACTAAACTACTCTCAGGCCAGGGATTTAGCTCAGTGGTTCTGCTGAGTGCCTTGTAAGCACAAGCTCCTGAGTTCAATCCCTGGTACCAAAAAACAAAACAAACAAACAAACAAAAAACTAAAGTACTCTGAAAAAGGAGATCAAAGAAGATATCAGAAAATTAAAAGATATCCCTTGTTCTTAGGTAGGAAGAATCAACATACTGAAAATGGCTATACTTACAAAACTGTTATACAGATTTAATGCAATCCTAATCAAAATACCAAAAGCATATCTCACAGAACTAGAGAACACAATCCTAAAATTCATTTGGAACCAGAACAGACTTAGAAGCAAAAGCAATTCTGAGCAACAACGGCAAGGCAGGAAGTATCACAATTCCTAACTTGAAATTATACTATAAATCTACCGTGATAAAAACAGCATGAGAGGGGCTGGGGATATTTAGCTCAGCAGTGATGTGCCTGCCTGGCAAGTGCAAGGTCCTGAGTTCGATTCCCAGTACTCTCAAAGCCCGCCCCCTAAAACCCCAGCAGGGTACTAGTGAAAAAAACAGAAACAAGGCTCAATGGAACAGAATAGAAGATGCAGAAATAACTCCAAAAACACTCACCCACCTTATCTTTGACAAAGGAGCCAAACACCTTCACTAGAAGAAAGCCTCTTTAGTAAATAATGCTGGGAAAACTGGCCTTCCACATGCTAAAGATTAAACTAGACCCAAATCTCACACCATGCACTCAACTAAAATCAAAATGGATCAAAGATCTAAATATAAAAAAAAAGAAAACACTGTGCTGGAAGATAGAATAAGTGAAACTCTTGAAGACATAGGTATGGGCAAAGACTTTATGAACAAATTCCCAATCACACAAGAAATATTACAAAATCAACCACTGGGGTCACACCATATCAAAAAGCTTTTGCACAGCAAAGAAACCACCAACAGAATAAAACGACAACCCACAGAATGGAAAGCAATTTTTCGCAGCTACTCCTCAAAGAACTAGTATATAGAATACATAAAGAACTCATTAAATTATGCCAGGTGTGGTGGCACATGCCTGTAATCCCAGAACTCAGGAGGCTGGGGCAGGAGGATTGCCATGAGTTCAAGGTCAGCCTGAACTACATAGGGAGACCCTATCTCAAAAAAAAAAAATCAGACCCCCCAAATTCAAAGGCCTAATCCAAAAAATGGGTATCTGAAATGAAAAGACACTTCTCAGATGAAGAAGCAGAGTAGAAACAGCAAATAAATGCATGAAAAAATGTTCACTATCCCTGGTCGTTAAAGAAAAGCAAATTAAAACAACACTGAGATGCCTTCTCACTCCAAAAAGAATGGCTATCATCAAGAAATCAACCAATAACAAATGCTGGTAAGGATGTGGGGAAAAAGGAATCCTTCTCCACTGCTGGTGGGAGTGTAGACTGGTACAACCACAACCACCATGGGAATCAGTATGGAGATTCCTCAAAAAACTAAAACTAGAGGTTCCATTTGACTCAGATATTCCCCTTCTTGGTATCTTCCCAACAGAGTTAAAAGCATTATACCACAGTGATATATGCACACCCTTGTTTATAGCAGCACAAATTGTTAGTTAATCTTGGAAACAGCCCCACTGCCCATCAACAGATGAATGGATAAAGAAAATGTGGTATTCTGTAATATAGAGTACTACTTTGCCATAAAGAAAGATAAACTTGAGTCTTGTGTAGGTAAATGGATACACCTTGAAATTATGAGCCGGCGTGGCAATATAAGAGGCTAAATGTTTCCAAATAGCCTACATTATAAAATAAGTGACTTCTCAATTAAATGAAACTTTATAGAGGTTTTCAGGAATAAACAAATATCATAAGGCTAATGAAAGCATAAAATGGAACAAGTCAAAGGAATATTTCATCCTATAAGTTAAGTATCATCTGTATTAATTACTAAAATCTAAATTTGATAATCTAACTTTTCAAGTGTCATTAAAATATATCAAGGCTACCATAAAGTCAAACGTGATTGTCAACTCATTTGAAAAAAATTACATTACAAGAAAATTATTAAAAGAAAAAAATACAAGCTCAATCTAAAATATAATTTTATTCAACTATAAAACCAATAACTACCTGCTTAATCTTACCACTTTTAATCAAACCATATTTAAGAGCTTAAGTTCTATAATACTTAGTGACCATTTGGAAAAATATTCTCACCTGTTCAATGACATAAAAGGCAAATTCCAGCCGCTGTTTCTGGAGCATAGGAATCAGGTGCAAGAAAAAAATTGGAAGATGCTCATGGCGATTACGGAAAGGAATGAGAACTGCCACCTTTAAAACAAAACAGTCACATTTATAAATAAACATGGCAGCAGATTCTAGAGGTAAAGATAAAAACTAATTCTTGGAAACATCTGATTGCTTTAACGTCATCTACTTATGAATTTTCTCACCAATGGTACAACAGCAAGTGCACACAGATGTGGGCCTTGCCTCCATGTGAAACTAGGGAGATGCAGACAGGTTCTGAAGGTAGTTCTAAAAATTGTAATCTCTGTCCTACAAGCAGCACAAGTAATCATTGAAAGATACTAAAAGAGTGATAAATCAGATTGCACACACTACCAGAACAGACTGGAGAAGACCAAAAACAGACTCAGGGGGCTGCCTTAGGAAATGAATGCAATAGTCAGGGCAGAGGTAATGGCACATGGAACTAAGGTAAAGGAAGAAGAGAAGAGAGATACGTGAATTTTCAAAACAGGAAGAGATTAACAGGATTTGCCTACGGACTGAATGTGCGGAGTGAGGAATAGGGATATGGCAAAAATAACTTTTAGGTTTTAAAGTTGATGATAAATAACAACTTTCAGCCATAGCCTACTAAAGTAACTCAATCACATATATTACTGTGAAATACACATTAAGTGTAATAATACGTTAATGCATTTTTCCCTTAATTAAAATGTACAATTGAGTTTTTTATACATTTTGTAAATTTATCTCAGTGGTTATGTTAAATTGTTAAGCTTAACAAAAAAGATGACACAAAGAGTACAGTAAAAAAAGAATTATAAACCAAAGAAATTTATGCTCATCCCTAAAAGCAAAAGAAAAAAAATGCATATGGAAATGAAAATAGTTTCTCAGTACATCACTCTTTCTTCTAATATGAAATCAAAGGGAACCAGGTTGAACAATTGCCTAGCATGTGCAAGGGCCTAGATTCAACCCCAGCATTGCTAAACAAAACAAAACTGGAACTCAAGACTAAACAAGACCATCTTTATAAACTGTGTTAGCAGAATGGGAATAAGTGAATAAATCAACTACCGCTTTCTTAGATTATCTACTTCCTAAAACTTCCCATATAAAGAGTTTGGTTTCTATTATTATGTCTCTGAAAAATGTCTCTAGACCAGATAAGCCATGTGAGGATAGTAGATATTCAAATGGAACCATTTTCAATTCAATTTAAAATCCAAAAAGTTGGGTTTTTTCCTTTTTTCTTTTTAACTGACATGTAATAATTGTGCATATTTATGGGTACAGTATCAAACTCTGTCACTTATATAAGGTAGGTCTCCTTACAATTCAGGTTTTGCTCTTGAAAGAGCTAAAATGTTTTCTAAATTACTCTTCTTAGTAATTTCTGGGCTAAGGTCGCCTTATTATAATTGTGAATTTTTTAATAAAATTTGAAATTAAGACAAGTAAGTGAAACTATATCTAAAATACCTCTGTCACTTTATGTACTGGATTTTTAAATCCAATTTAAATTGTTTATAACAATTTATGTAACAACACTCTATGATTAAAATTTTATCCATACCAAATAAATTTTACTAATGAATGAATAAATGTAAATAATTGAGAATACGTAAGTTTGGACTTAACTATACTTGTAAAATCAGGATATAACATTAGATGTTGTAAAAAAAAAACAACCCAAAAGCATTAGGGCTTTGGGTATAGCTCAGTGGTAAGAGTACTTAGCATGTGTAAGGTCCTGGGTTCAATATCCAGCCTTCCCTCCAAGGAGAAAAATAGTAACATTTACCTACATGTTTGACACTACCAGAATCATAAATGGAATAAAAATTTAAGCTATTAAGAGTTTTATTTAAAAAGATAAAATATGGTAATATCGTTTAGTAAAACTGAAGGTCTAAACTAGAATGACACTATCCATTTTCCTTTCATGCTGAGATCAAAAAAAAAAAATGAGACAATGGCTGCTATGAGCCTGATGGACAATACTAATCCAATATCCAAGACTCCATTCTTATCCCTGCACGTGCTCTTGCTAGCAGGCTTCAGTATGGTTGGCATAGTCAAGGAATTCCTAAATCAATACAGCTGCCAAGCCAGTTTAGAGGGCCTAGGCTTAATATAGGAAACTGCTATGAAAAGTAAAAGATGAGTTTCGTGGTAATCCATGACCCTGCCAGGTGTATTATTTGAAGTCATGACAACTTCTAGCAAAAAAAAAAAAAAAAAAGATCAAGCTTGGCATTCCTGGTTTTGCATCTGGCCTGAAGATGGCCATCTAAGATACACTGTAAATGGACTGTAAGAGCAGTTAAGGCAAGCCAGGCTGAAAGGCTTAGGCAAAAGGATAGTAAGTTCGAGCCCAGCTTGGGCAATTCAGTGACTTAGCCAGACCCTATCTCAAAATGAAACATAAATGGCTGGCTGGGAATGTAGCTGACAGCAAAGCCCCTGGGTTCAATCCCAATTGTGTATGTGAACATGTGTGCGCACGCACACATACACAAAGCAATAAAGGCAAATTATACGTAAGGGAAGAAGCTATCATATGGCTTTGGGGTCCATATTAAAGATATATTAATTAAATCCAATTTAATTTATGACTTGAAGATACAAGCGTAAACAAAGGCAAAGCAGTAATCTTTAATACAGTAACCTCTTCAATGAAGCATTTAAAATGTTAAAAGCAGTTTCTTTTAAACTTAGAAGGAAAATGAGAATATGAGAAAGAAATTATCAGTGTCCTGGCAAATCCAAATAAGTTAAACTGACATTTTAATAGCAAATAAATGCTCAAACTGTAATGAGATGCTATTGTAGATTGTCAATGATATGCCTAAGGCAAAATTTTTTTATTAAAATAAAGGTAGGGTCAGGGATTTAGCTCAGTGGCACCGTGCCTGCCTTGCAAATGCAAGGTCCTGAGTTCAATCCCCGGAACTGCAAATAAATAAATAAAATAAAGCTAAATAATATCTTAACATTTCATTTTCCATGCCCCTCATAGCTGTGGAAAGACATTCTCCATAGTTCATAATTCACTGTCTAGAAAACAGACCTCAGCATTCTCTGATCATTCACTTTGGGGCTTAATGGCCTTCCCTTAAGGACATGCTTTCTTCTCTGTGCCCAGCGAGCGGCTCTCCTGTTGATACCGCTCCAGTGGAGATGAACATCTGGCCATTACCTTCTGAAAGAACAATGCTTCATCTTCCTGAACCCTTCTGCATCACCTCTTGTTCAAGTAAAATTATTCTATTCAGTTTGCTCCCACTTCAGAATCACAAACTTACTGAATTTATACACCTATTTTTTTCTTTGCTTATTTTTTCCTCAATGTGCTATTGGAAGATGAGAAGACAAGAAAAATGTTTACCACGTCATCCTCCACTAAATTTTTTTTCTCACTTCCCAACTTTAAGCACAACACCAGCTATGTGTCCCTAAATGACACACCTTTTAGATTTGGTTAGTTCAAAGCCTACCTAGCTATTTGCACTGAACTAGGTTGAGGGAAGTGGAAGCTAGCACACTCTCATTCTCTAATTGTTCCTCATCGCAGGAGCAATTAGAAAACTAGACATGGGCCAGGGATTTAGCTCAGTAGTTACGCCGCCTGCCTTGCAAGTGCAAGGTCCCAAGTTCAATTCCCAGTACCAAAAAAAAAAAAAGAAAAAGAAAAAGAAAACTAGACACACTTGATAAAAAGGTAGGTTCTGGTCCCTTCCCAATATGAGAATCAGAATGTACGAGGACTACATTCAAGAATCTGCATGGTTATCAAACACCTCAAGTAGTTGTGACACAGGTGGCTCAGATCCATCTCTGAAAGACCACGGACTAGAAGTGTAACTCCAGGCCTCTAAGTAACAGCACCAAGAAGCCACCTGGTTCTTTGCGCCTGTACATGTCAGACCAGTTTTTCAAGTCCCCCAGCCGAATCCTAAAAGGCAAGGTGATGGCACGGTAAACATGTCATTTTTAATTACCTGAAAAGCATCACCATCTTCCTCTTCCAATCTCCCCTTTAGAAATAAGCCTGCCTTCACAAAATGTCTAACCTGTGCAGAAATCTTCCAGAAGTCTGCACTACCAGGAACATCCAGCATTTGCTGATATCACTAGTTTTGGCAGATAACAGTTACAATTAAATGACCATCAATTAACTTGGTTCAAAAAGGAGCCTTAAATATTAAGAATCAAGTTAACATCAGATATTTAATATAAAACTACTTATTTCTTCTTTCACTTTTTCTCAAATGTATTCCAATATTTGAATGAGACATTATTAAAATGTGAACAGGAAGGAAGGGGTACGGGAAGGATTTAATTAAATATGGCAAATATTGCTCACCTTTGAAGGATTTCTAAAATTCTTCTCACATCTTTAGCAGTTTCATAGTTTAGAACTAAAGACTGTATTTAGAGAAAGGTTTGCTAAAAGCCAAAATAAGAGTGTATCATAAAGTACCTAAATAAAGCAAGCTAATTTTTAGAGCCCTAAGTTCGTTTGTTTCCAGAAACTCCTTTCAGTACTATAATCTACTGAGTCACATGGAGTTTGCAGGCCACTACTATCTCTGTAAGTAGGAACTACTACTCTGAGCTTCTCCAGGAAAATTAGAAGAAAACATCAAATTTTAAATCCATCTGATATATCGACTTCAGGAAAAAGACCAAGAATACTTGCTTTCCCTTCCCAAATTATTCTGCTAATATGCTACATAGCACATACCCAAGGGGGTATACTGTATATCACACTGACATCCCCACATCTACCTCACTGTGACCCTAGAGTCTTTGTGACTGAGTGTTTTGTCTTCCACTAGCATTCAACATACACATTCATCACTCAAGTAATAAAATATCTGATTGGGCTAGGACATTTTTTAAAAGTGAAATGCATGTAAATTGAGCCATGTTTTGTTCGGATACAAATATGAGAAAATTCAATCAAGAAATATGAAAAGTGGAGCAGGAGAGGTACGGCGGGCCGGTGCACGAGAGAGCACCTCACTCTAGCAGTGGCACCGGGATCGGTTGCCTCGAGCCGTCTTCAG